ATCTCGAGCACGTTTCTTTTATCACATCATTTCTAACATTGTCTGTTTATATTACAAACGGATATAATTTGACTTGTATAGTCCTCTTTAAAAGCTTTTAAACCTTTTCTTTCGAAATTAGCATGTATAACGCATAAAGTGCAGAAAAAAAGAAACACAATTCGAGCATCTGATATGGTTATAATATTTATATACGATAGTGTTTCTCGTAGTAAATGAGGTGCAATGGACTGGTATGTGATTCTATATTTAAAGTATAAATGCGTTACTTTCGACATATTGAAGAGTATTCTAATATTACAATTTAATATTATACTTTAAATTGGTTTATAAAACTTATACACGCATACATATATGCATATAAATACATATATATGTATATACATATATGTGTATATATGTATATTTGTTCAATATTAGAATATAACAATTATGAGAATTATTGTTGACATAAGAGAAAATGTGTTTGTATATATTTATGTAAAATATAATAAGAAATCATGTTAGTTTCTATAATAGTTTTAAGAAATCAAGAAGTATCGGTTGCTCAGATTACTTGTAAATTTAAGCGCTTTTAATTCACACAGTAGATTCTTTAGTTTTCCTAAAAGTTTTCTTAAAAGATTTTCTTGTAAGCAAGAAACAAGTGATGAGCGTCTTAATAAGTTTGATTTTATCTCAAACATTGTTGAATATTTAGTTATTTCGGTATTTTGATATTACTAATTATTTTTTAAATCTTGATTGAGTACATTTGTTATAGTCTGAGGGACCGATTCACTGATTCTGTTTAAGATATAATTATGCCTCTTGTTTTCTCGCTGCAGTTCTATTAAATTACCCACAGCGAAAATTGTCCAAGACGAGAAAAATCATATGAATTTTTCTCGCATTATTGAAATGTCTTTTATCACAATCTACATGTTTTATCAAACAAGTAAAAGCCTCTAAAAAAAATTAATTTTTACACGAAAAATAGTTTTACATGATTTCTCGCTGGTGGCCTTATAATACGACTGCAGTGAGCAACTTGAAGAGGCCATACACCTTCCACAAGCGACAGCTACCGTATCTCATAATTAACTGTCTATCTATTCTACGCGCAGTTTTAATATCTCACTCAAGCACGAGAATGTCTTTCCTATTCCGCATAATCAGACTCCGGTTATCACGGTTTGTACCTAATACGTGTGCTTGAGCCAGGATAAAAAGAATAATAACGATAAACGTAGAACGAGACGACCGCCCAGGTATACAATGAGGTCCAGTCCGAGTGATGTTCACGACTAAATGATATCAGTGTAGCGTAGTCTAACATAGCATTTTTTTGGATATATATCTACTGTCTGTAATTCTGTCGACTCCAACCGTAACCGCGTTAACTACGTATGAGCTTCCAGGATGTGTACACAGCGTGTTGCGTGCACGCACCCCGAAATGCCAAGCCAACACAATTTGCGTTTGAAAAGATTTGTTGAGAGAAACGATACGCTTTTCGAAGTCGACTTCGGAAATGTCTGGGAAGAAACGTTATATGTATATAGGGACATATTTTATATATAATTGTATATCAAATATGCCAATTTGTTTCTATAATTATATATAATTAAATACATATATGAAACATTTTTTCCCGGATGACGATCCTTCCACGCGCGAAACGCGATATTTTCCAAAATTATACACGTGTAAGGCACATCTACGTATATACATATTATATACTCTTTCTCTTTCTCTCGGCTATTTGCATGCGTACTTATATGTGATTTCGAAGGAATGTACTTTTTCCAAATTGTAGATTCATATTGCGATATATACATACATATATATATTTTCGAAACGTTGTCGTCCGTAGAAGTATATCACTTCGGTATATTTTCCCGGCGTGCACGTAGCGAGCGTGTCGTAAAATACATATCAGATTCGCTGTATTCCCGATATATTAATCGGGAGACGGCGGACGACTGTGCGTCTCTCGTCGTTTGAAATCCAAATATGGCGCAGTACAAGTTAGGTTTACTCACCGGGTCTTGTGCCCGTGGCGATGATAGACACTTCGACGACTCCTCGGAAACAGCCTCGGAAATGCACGTTCGTAACTGTGGATGATAAGAATCACGTTCGCGTACCCCGTCCACCGCCGAAGACGCGATTATACGCGGGAAACTCGATTCGCGACGCGGGAAACTTTGAGCTCGCGGGAGTTACGGCCGTAACGGACGCGGCGCGAATGCACACTGAAGGTAGCCGCGATTCAAATCTTCGAGCGCTAACGAGCGTTCCGAAAGGCACGCTTCCTATAATAAATAATGCCCGTTTTTACGAATGCGTAGTTTAACTTTAATTTTGTTTTAACTCACTTTTTATCTTTTTCTAGTTCTAAAAAAAGGATCAAGCGTGAGTTAAATCGAGATTAAAGTTAAATAACATTGGCAAAAGTGCATAAAACGTTTCGTTTAAACGGCTTCGCGCTTTGATTTCGAAACGTATTACTCGCGAACTGAGAAAACTTCTTCATTCGTTACGAGCAATCGCTGTTGCATGATCAACTGATCAAATTTGGATATACGTTGAAAGAAGATAAAATATCACGAAGTGATTTTGAAACATAGCTATTAAATGCAGGGGAGATCAGTTGATCAGTTTGAAATTAGAACATATTCAAGTAGAACATAAAAGGTTCGCGTTGCTTGCACTTAATCGGTCTGTTTTTTATTGCTGCACTTTCTGAACTAGCACACACAGTGCAATAAGTTCAGAGTGCAGCAAATAACAGAAAACCTAATATCTTCTTTTTCTGTCTCTCTTCAACATCTGATTATACTTTCTACACTGAAATTTACTCTAAAAATTTGATGCCCATTTCCAATGTGGATTAACTTTAATCTCGATTCAACTTACCCTTCATCTTTTTCTAATTCTTTTTTAAGAATTAGAAAAAGAATTGAAAGAATAAAAGTTAGTTGAAATGAGAAATGATAAAATTAAACTACATTTGTAAAAACGGGCATTAAAGAGTATTTGCTTCGTTTTAAATGCAAACATTTTTAAGGATTTCAAGCAACTCGAACAAATCTAAAGTCATAGTGACATCAAAATGGCTCCAAAATTATTAAAAATCATTTATTCTACACAACATTTTTATCCAAGAGATGTTCCATTTTTAGGATTTTCGATGCATTTTAACGTTAAAATGACATTAGTGTGACTTGTTCTGCTTGGGTAATTTCGAATTGAAACGATCTTTTGACAGTTATTTTTGTTTCAAACATCGAATTTTGTTGTAAAACGAGAGAGCTGCTTCGATGACAAAGCGATAAATTCATGAACTTTTCTAAATAACTAGCGGAAAAATATAATGAGATGCGTTTGATCATAGATATATACATACATCGCTCGTCTAATTTAAGGAGCCCACTTAGAAGGACAATTCTAATTATGATCGTTAGACGTACGCACAGTTTAAATTATGGGCGATTACCGGATACACACACACAATACATACGATTAACAATAATTTTCATGTCTAAATGTGCTGTCGATGTTTCTTCTAGTTTGAGATAAAAATCGAGTTCGCACTGAACGATCGATAATATTCTATCATTATCTTCCCATTTCGGAACAGATTCGACTGTGCAATTTTTCACGAGCGTGCGATTAATCCCTTTTAATTGTATCTTTCTTTATTCTCGCATATTATTTTATATATATATATATATATATACGGTGTGTGTGTTATATATATATATAAAACACACACACACACACACACACATATACTGTACAGTCTAATAATTCGGGTAAATGTTTGTTAAGACGATTCGATATACTTTTACAATATTTACGACATTCGATTAAGTAGTCTGTATTGTGATAAGTGCGGAAAGAACCATGTGGCGAATATCCTGATTAATATCCTAAAGTAAAAGTACAAGCGTATCTGACAAAAAAAAAGAAAGAAGCAGAGACATATTTATTTTGTTGACAGCCGCGCGTCTACGATTTTCACAAAAAACGGTTGGCTTGGCTTGGCTTCTTCCAGACTCAGTATTAGATTTTGCGGACAATGAATGGGAATAGAAAGAAAAGATCGAGCTTGTACGAGTTTCTAGATGGTTTTACACCGATTTACATTTTACGGAGATAAAAGTCGACCACCTGGTCGCCCGAATTTTTGCGGTGTTTCCGTAGAAAAAAAAAGACTCCGCTCCGCTCCATATCTTTATGGATAATTTAAATTTTGTATACGCGCAGCGTGCGAACGGTGACACTTACAAACACCTGGCGATATAGTATTTTATATGTATTATAGGATCTTTAAGATTTTATAAATGTTTTTTCATGGGAGAGAGAGAAAAAGAGAGAGAGAGAGAGAAAGAGACGGGTAAAGAATATATCCCGTCTCTTTGTACTCGCAACAAATATGTTGTGTGCTTTTACGAGCTCCAGTTGCGTCGACAAACCATCTCTAGTTCAAGAACGACTTTGTCGTGAGACCTTTCGATTAAAATCATACTGTATATCAAGCGTTTACGCTCATATACATGTATATATCAGACAATGGGACCGGAGTGAAAATTTTATAAGCGTATACTTGAGAAAGAGTGACAATGGGATTTATGGTAATAACGCCTTGTTTTGCCAGTGTCACCGTCATTTCTCTTCCTCTGTGAATTCTGTTGAATTATATTGATGAGAATGTAATTTTTATTTATTGTAAATAAAAGGAACATTGCTTAAAACATTTTGTATATTATATAGTCTGAATCAATACGCATGAAACAAATTCTATTAGATGAAATGTCCATCAGGTCCAGGGATTCTAAAAAAATTGCAAATTGTACGAAGAGATTCGTGATAATACACGAACGCGTTCTTATACGATAATCTTGCAGGAACGATAGCATAGCTTTGGGAGCAGGAAATAATGTAGGACAGGAATAAAGTTAATTTTTGGTAAAATACTGCATAATGTTTTATTAGACATTAAATAATCCTTATATGTGAAATAAATATTTTAACAGATGTAAATAAAAAATAGTGCTGCTCTCCATCATCTGCTGCTCAAGTATTTATCGTGCATCGAATACAACAACTGAAAACAAGATTATAGAATACGATTAAGAAAAATTTCTAGAAATTCAATTTTACTTGATTATATTTAAAAAATGTCAACTGTGTTACATCAAAAACATTAAAAAACATACGTCTTTTTGTACGCTTTTTGTACATGATTCTATATCCACATTCTCTGCATCGAATTGCATCTTTGGCACGAATCTCATTATCGTGATGACATTCTGAAATAATGAGTTAAAACTTAATTAACAATGTAAATTAGGTAAAAGAACGAAAATAGTTTTTCGTTACAATTTATTTTAATAACTACTACATATATCGTTATATTCGACAAAATTTCTCTACTTAGAAAGTTACTTTAAAATGCAATTTATCGAGTTCCATAAACAATTGATATAGTGTATCAGTACAATTGATTTATAAAATGTTAAAGTCTTAAAACTTTTTAAATAAACATATAAATGTGAATAATTTAATGAAAATTGGCAAGCAATGAATTAAGAGGTTTTTACTAAAATGTGAGGTTAGAAATAGTCACCAACATGTGCTTACCTCCACAAATGTATACCATAGCTTGTTTCGGGGTAGATTCAGATTTACCGCTCTCCATTTTAACACTGTGATGTGATATATAATAAACTAATTGATTTATAATAAACTATTTGGTTACAATAAATATTCGTTATCGTAGAGAATACACAAAGAGTTGTTGTCAATGAAATAGCAATACGACGCAATTGGAAAACCGACTTTGACTAGGATTGACTTACCGACTACCGATTAGAAACTTTTATTGTAACATCGTGCGCTCGCATAGATTTAAATAGTATTGTTCGTTTTGTCTCTCGGGAGCTGCTTGGGGTCACTTCGAACTTACCGTAACTTGAACTTACCGTACTTGAAATATAGGATTCACACTATGTCCGTCATACATCTAACATTCATTGTTACCAAGGCTCGGTAAAATAATTGATACGACTTATTTAAAATAAAAAATTTACAATAGGTTCCAGAAAATTATTTAAAATACAAAATCGATAAAAAAATTGATACAACTTATTTAAAACATTAAATAAGAAATAAGTCAGAGGAAGTTATTTAAAATAATAAATAGTAAATAAAGTTTTAATTTTTTCTTTATTTAAAATATATATTTTTAATAAATTTATTTGAAATAAGATCGAACCCTGATTGTTACGATGAATGTAGGACGTCATATGACGGATGTCGTGATAGTGTGAATCCTACATTTCAAGTACACTGAGTTCATTCGGAGCGATCCAAGCAGCTCCCGAGAGATAAAACGAACAATGCTAAAGATTCATGTCCTAGCTCTCTTAGGTTTCTTTCTGTCGCGGGCTCGTGATACTACAATAAAAGTTCCCAATCGACAGTCGGTAAGTCGGTACTAGTCAGTTAAAGTCGGTCTTCTAATTGCGTCATATTTAGTCATACTGCAATTTCATTGACAACAATACATTGTGTATTTTACGATAACGAAAATTTATTGTAATCAAAAAATCAATTTATTTATTATATCAACAGTGTTAAAATGAAATCCGATAAATCTGAATCTATCCCGAAACAAGCTATGATATACATTTGTAGATATAAGGACACGTATGTTGATAACTATTTCTAACTTCACATTTTAGTAAATAACCTTTTAATATTATTGCTTGCCAATTTTTATTAAATTATTCACATTTATGTTTATTTAAAAAGTTTTAAAACTTTAACATTTTATAAACTATATCAATTGTTTATGGAAATTGATAAATTGCATTTTAAAGCGCTTTCTAAGCAGAGAAATTTTGTCAAACATGAAATATGTAGTTATTAAGACAAATTATAACAAAAAACTATTTTCATTTTTTTACCTAATTTACATCATTAATCAAGTTTTTAACTCATTGTTTAAGAATGTTATCATAATAACGAGATTCGTATCAAAGATGCAATTCGATGCAGAGAATGTGGATATAGAATCATGTATGAGAAGCGTACAAAAAGACGTATGTTTTTTAATGTTTTTGATGTAACACAGTTGACAGTTTTTAAATATAATCAAGTAGAATCGAATTTCTAGAAATTTTTCTTAATCGTATTCCATAATCTTGCTTTCAGTAGTTGTATTCGATGCACGATAAATACTTGAGCAGCACATAATGGAGAGCAGCACTATTTTTTATTTACATCTGTTAAAATATTTATTTCACATATAAGGATTATTTAATTTTTAATAAAGTAACATGTTATTGCATAAGTTTACAATTGTGCGAACAAAGAAATCAATGTTCTTGTTATAAGTTCACACTTTGTTACATTATTCTGTTTAATGTCCCCTGCAAGTTTAATATTCTAAAATTTCTCTATTTTCTAACGTTAATCTTTAAAAATTCGATGAATCTATACAATTTGCCAGAAAATCAAACATACATAACTAAATTTATCCTAATCAGTTTTAATTTTTTTTATTTTAAGGAAACGGATGTATGCAATTCTATACATTTGTTCATACATTGTTATTAAATCCATGCATACATGTATTCAGATATGTATATAATATGTTAATAAAATTATCATACATCCGTTTTCCTAATAAAAATGTTGATTCATTACTCACCGAACCGATGCACAACAGTGAAGTTATATCTGCAATACCGGTACGACGATTCTGTAACAAATAAATTAAAATTCAAATTAAAACAGAGTAAACAAATAACTTATAATCATTACTTTAAAAAATAATTGCTATATAAACGCATGCAGTTTGCTGAAAAATAATTATGCAATTTTAAAAATATAATTTCTGTAAGCATCAAATTTTTGTACTCATTATTTAATTAGATATAAAACAATTGTATATTCTCTAAAATAATTATATATATTTTCTAAAATAATTAGAGCAAAATCACCGATATCGACATATCACTTTGTTTTTAGACAATATTTCTAAAACGAAACAAAGTACAAATAAAACTTTAAAAACATAAGTTTTCTCTATGTATATATACTCTAAAGATCTTCGCAATAAATAAATTCGTATAAAATTTAAATAAAGTATTATTTAAATTACT